CCCGAATTTCTTAATAACATACGAGCATCTGGTGTACCGAACCATGAGTTGAAGTTAAAGATCGGAACACCAATCATGTTGTTGAGGAATATTGATCCATCTTCGGGTTTGTGCAATGGGACAAGGTTGATTGTTACCCGACTTGGTAATCATCTTATTCAAGCTACTGTGCTTACGGGGAAAAATATTGGTCAAGAAGTCGTTATCCCCCGATTGTTGCTTACCCCGTCAGATACGAGAATTCCTTTTAAGTTTGAAAGGAAACAGTTCCCAATTATGATTTCATATGCCATGACAATTAATAAAAGTCAAGGGCAATCGTTGTCTCAGGTTGGCCTTTTACTGAAGAAGCCGGTATTCAGCCACGGTCAGCTTTACGTAGCGCTTTCACGTGTCACAAATCGCAGGGGTCTAAAGATCTTGATATGCAATGATGACCAAAGCAAGATGAATCAAACTACTAATGTAGTTTACAAAGAAGCTTTTCAAAACGTATAATGTAATGCTTCCACAATTTGTATTATTGTATACTTCACCCCCTTTAATATTTCCTGTTATATTCGTATTTTAATTGAATCGTATCAAATTCCAACATTAATAAATTCCCTAATTATTGTAACTTTTTTTACGCCGTGCAACGCACGGGTTCGAATCTAGTTTGTCCCAAAATAAATTACATTCTCCGAAACAATCAAGCAGACGTGTATAGTTTTGTGAGGTTTAAAATAATTATATACATAAATTTCAAAAAATGTTTTTTGATGTGATGGGTAAAAATATGATTTAATGGATAGATTATTAGTAAAAGGTATGATGTGATAGGTAGGGTATGAAAAAGTAAGGGGTAAAAGTGATTTTTTTAATGGAAATGAGGATTGTTTTTAGGGACTGATGGTGTAAATTACGTTACCGGACAAACTATACTAGACCGAGTCTAGAGTAGTTTGCTTGATTTGGCAAAGTAAGAAAGGTAAAAACACGCAGATTGACCGGGTGGCGCCAAAAATGATGGTGTAAATTACGTTACCGGACAAACTATACTAGACCGGGTCTAGAGTAGTTTGCTTGATTTGGCAAAGTAAGAAAGGTAAAAACACGCAGATTGACCGGTAGGACTTTAGGTGGAACACCTGTAGCCCAATTTATATTATACGGGGAATGCCCGGTTGCTTTTACAAGGGAGTTTAGAGAGAATGAATTCGGATCTCCTTCCTCGAGGGTTACAAGAGATATATATACTAAGCTGGGGGGACAGAACCACGTGCGCCCACGTGGGGGCACGCTGCTGATGTGGTGCGAGATGACTGTCCCTGAGCCACTTGTCATCTTGCGAGGGGGATTACCCCCCTTGTCGCATTCTGGCTTGGAAATATTCCTCCAGCATCTCCACTGAGTCCCCAGCAATGCCAACCACTACAGTCCAAGTCCTTTTGGACTCTTCCTGCCGACACTTTCCAATAATTAAAACCTGCACCGGTTCGTTCTTGAGGGTTGGATCTGCTAACTTCGAACGATGAATTAGACCCCGGCATAGTTAGACCGGTACACTATTCGAAGTATACCGGTCAACCTTTTGGTCAACTCTTTACCCTTCCATGAACGATTCATCTCCCTTCTAAGTTTGACCTTCTTGACCGGTCAACTTATATGGGTCTGACATTTGACCGGTCATGGGTGAAATACACCCATCAGGGACGTATGAAAAAAGAAAAAAGAAAGGTTTTCAAGAACGGAGGGAGTATATACTTCGTAACTTAAATACTCCGGGGTAATATTTAAAAATTATATAAGAATTTCTATAAATAAAAATGATACAAATATTTATTTTATCAAATAACTAATAAAAATATATAAATAAACAAGATTATCTAAATGCTAGAATAGTAACTACGGAGTATTATATTCCATCTATTTTAGAACGAACACAAGAGTTATAACATATGTACTATACGGAGTACTTAAATTCTGCTCAGAAATTTATCCCTACATTTTGGTCATGTTTAGAAGTTGTTTGTTAGTTGTTTGTGTTTGTTCTTCTAAATAGTACCCCCTCCGTCCCTAAATAAACTTTCCCTTTCGTTTTTTTTGTCCCAAAATAAACTTCCATTTTCCCTTAAAAAATCACTTTTACCCCTTACTTTTTCATACCCTACATATCACATCATACCTTTTTACTAATAATCTACCTATCACATCTTACTTTTACACATCACATCAAGGATATTTTTGGAAAGTTAACACAAAAATATCCCTCCCTTAAATCCCCAAAAAGTCAAAAATGAAACTTTATTTAGGGACGGAGGGAGTATATAAATTTAGCTGGTTTTGACTTAATGGATGTGTTGACTTCGTAAAAAATATTTTGTAAATTTAATTAGTTGTTTGCAATTAGTTGCTAATTTCGAAATTCAAAAAATAAATTATATACATCTATGTAAATATATGAGTGACAATAGAACCAAATTTTCTCAAAAAAGTAAGTCTTAGCTAGATTTGTGTTTGAAAGACATCGGATAGATAGTAAATAGTTTTACTAAAAATAATTAATTTAGCTAAATTTTTTAAGTATTTCATATTAATTTCATAAATTTTTAAATGAATTTGTAAGAATAATGTAGCTGTGGGATCAAGCTTCTTAATTGACTATAACCTTGTAATTTAGTATATTAATTTAAATAAAAGAATAAATTAATCTTATACAAAGTATTTTCTCTGTCTTAGTAAATTTGTTTATTTTGACTTTTTCAAGTCAAATTAAAAGAGCTTTGAATTTCAATTAAATAAAAGAATAAATTAATCTTATACAAAGTATTTTCTCTGTCTTAGCATAAAATGACTATATTAGATTTATCTTTTATTAAGATTTTCAAAACTTTATTTCACTATAGTAATATGCAATACAAATAGAGATTAATTAAAGCTCAAAATTTATTCAGTTTGACTTGTAAAAGTGAAATTTGACAAATGCACCGAAACGGAGGTAGTATTTAATAATTTAAAAATAGAAATTAATAAACCAAATGAATTTTAGAGAGACTAAAAGCACAATTATAAATTTTAAAGGGATCAAAACATATATTTAAATTTGAGGAGAATTATTTAAATTAGAAGACCAAAAAACTCTCTAATTTTACAGGACCAAAAATATATTTGACCTTTTATTTTTATTTTTTATTTTTATTTAGTTTTAATTTTAATGTATTTACGGAGTACTATTTTTAGTTTTTATTTTTTATGTTCTCATTTCATATAATTTATTTTTTAAATTTTTATTTTTTATTTTTAGTTTTATTTTATTTATATTTTTACGTATATTTATAAATATAGAGAGAGAGAGAGAGAGAGAGAGAGAAATGGAAAAAACTAATTTATTCTAAAAGCTAAATCCAAAAGTCACTCTACACTTTTCAAATTTCCACTTTCCCGACCGAGTAGTAAAGGTAAAAAATTATTTGTCAAATAATAATTTTGATTATTTCTATAGTCAATAATCAAAATCAGTCTTTTTCAAAAAAAAAATAATCAAAATCAGTCATAGAAATAAATTTAAAAAAACCAATTTAAAAGCCAGTGTCTGAACATGGTTCCTGACAGGTTTAATTCCTTGATTTCAAAGCTCACATAATTAAGATGATCGAACTTTGTTGAATCCAACTCCAACCTACTTTTACTTTGGTCTTTGGCCTTTGGTCGTACAAATCTTATGAATGACTAATCTTTGGGACTTTCGTGACTTCCATCTTACCATTCATAACACAAAACATTGGTCAACAAATTAATGAACTTAAAAAGAGATACTTAGGAGTAAAAAGATTTCACCCTCTGTTTTTTTTACTATTCATTTTGCTTTTTATGTTGAAATTTTTACCAATTGTCTCTTAATTATTTCTTAATAAAAAGTTCGGGGGTACTCCATACAATAGAACAGAAAAATAGAGAGAGTATATGATTAAAAGATCTTGACTTACGAGTTAGGACGATAGAAACAATTTTTATAGAATTAAAATATACACATAAAAATAATATCCGGTCGAAGTTAAAACTTAAAACCACATTATAATTCAAATAACAATTATAGAGGTTAAGGTGTCATAAATATCTAATTCAAATAACAATTATAGAGGTTAAGGTGTCATAAATATCTAATTATATGTTTTATGAGTAATAATTTATAAGAGTCGTAACAGTATTATTAGGCAACAAGGTCCTTGGCATCTAATCAATTACTATATTTTAAGAAAAAAATTCATAGTGTAATTTTTTTGTTTGTCCTAGAAAAAGGTATGTTTAACTCAATTATTTTGAGATGGAATTATGCCGTTCCCATAGTTTTTTTGTGTATAAAATTTAATATAATCTCACAATTTCAACCTTATTAAAACTTTAAAAATGTATATTAAATTTGGAATGTAATAAGGGAGATGCTTGGGTAATCCCAATTTGTACCTTATTTCGTACACCACGAATATATACAGATTTGTCACACACCACTTGTACAAACAATGGATAGGATTTATGGGCCAAAGAGGCTAATCTTTTGGAATGAATTTTGCTGTATGATCATATGTGCAATCCACATTTATTCTTACTTCTATTTTCCTTTATTGACATTAATATCAATTACAAAATTTTATTTTTCTTAAATATCCTTGCGTTCTCTCCTTTCTCAAAAAATAATGGGATGGGGATTGGTAAAATACCTCAAATTAACCTTAAATTTTAAGTAAAAGTAATATTATCATTCTTGATGTTAATCATTTAGAGGTTAGGGACATGGTCGAAAAATTTTTAAGCGGCCGAACTCAAGAATTACCCAAACTTGACTTAATTTACTGGGCTAACTGGAGTGAGTAACTGCAAGAGTAATGTCCAAAACATAGGTCAACCAAACCAATGGTTCAGATTCCAGACGAGGAGCATATCCAAGGGAAAAGATAAAAGGATAAGATAATATCAGTAAATATGGGAAGGCAGTAATTTTTTTTTTTTTTTTTTTTTTTGCTGTCATATTCTTCTTGCATTTTCTTGTCCTTGTGCAATGACACACCATTTATGGCACCCCCACGTTCTTGTTCTCTTCTGCTTTAAATATCACCACCACACCACTCCCCCCTTCACATTCACTGTATTCTCCATTGAAAAGAGGGAACCTTTATCTCCCCATTCTGAAACTCAAAAAAAAAATAAGAGATTGATTAGATTAATGATGAGGAAGTTGGGCATAACTTTACTCATAATCCTTGTCATCCACCAAAACTGCTTTCATTTCAGAGTGAAAGCAAGTAGTGATGGGTTCATCAGAACCAGAGGAATCCAGTTCTCTCTCAATGGCTACCCTTTCTATGCCAATGGCTTCAATGCCTATTGGCTGATGTACATGGCTTCTGACCCTTCTCAGAGGCACAGAGTCTCTGATGCCTTTAGAGAAGCCTCCAGCCATGGCCTCACTCTTGCAAGAACTTGGGCTTTCAGTGATGGTGGCTACAAACCTCTCCAGTATGCTCCTGGCTCTTACAATGAAGACATGTTCAAGGTATTCTCCATCAACTCTTGAAGTGACCTTTTTGGTCAAAAGTACCTGCACAGTATATGTTTTCTTTCTTCTTTCCCTTTTTTTTTTGTCCTTGTCAGCTTATACTCTGTTTTCATTTATACACAAGATTTTCATTTGTGTCCATTCCAAAATAAGTGTAACACTTAAAGAAATATGCCACTCACAAGATTTTTCTCTTATCATTTGTAAAACATTTTTCATTTTCAAGCCTTTTCTTAGATCTGGTGATGTCAAATTCAGGATGGAGGGAGATCCCACAATTATTTAATCTTCGAGCTTATTTAATTTTCCATGATTTTTGCTTTCTATGAATTTTTGAGTAGTAAAAATGCATCAATGCAACAAGAGGTCCAACAGAAACAACCTCTCTGCTTTTTAGTGTTGTGTTGTTTGTCAAAGTAGAGACATTAAAATGGGATTGAGAGAGTAATTTGTGTTTCTATATCAAACAAAGTATTCTTCAAAGATGACCAGTTTTTGGTTTTATGTGTGGAATTGAAGGGATTGGATTTTGTGATAGCTGAGGCAAAGAAGTATGGGATGAAGGTGATTTTAAGCTTGGCTAATAATTATGACAGCTTTGGAGGGAAGAAGCAGTATGTGGAGTGGGCTAGAAAGCAGGGGCAGCCCTTGTCATCTGAAGATGATTTCTTTAGAAACTCTCTTGTGAAGGCCTACTACAAAAACCATATAAAGGTAACATCACTGTTCACTGGAAGAAAAAAAAACCAATTTTGCTCCTACTTCCCAAAAAGTGGACTGAGACAACATTGAGTCCACGGTCATAAAGTTTTTTTTTTTGAAATCATCCCAAATCGATTCAATATGAATGAATCAATCTAGTACTCCATAATAAATATGGGATAACCCCATGCAATCCTTTGAAAGATCTTTTGAATTGAACAAAGGGTCATGCTATAGTCACCACACCAAAGTTGACATTGCCAAACTGTTTGTGTGTGATTGCATGTGGTTGGGTCAAACTTAGGGTGGTTAAACTAGCATAAATCTTGAACAATACATGTCCTTAACAAATGCACGGATTAATACTACTAATATGTTCAGTTTTTGTGACGCAAGTGGTGTGTATATTTTTGTGTGTGGCAACAGACTGTTTTGAACAGAAAAAACACTTTGACTGGAGTAGTTTACAAGAATGACCCTACCATAATGGCTTGGGAGCTTATGAATGAGCCCAGGTGCCCCTCAGATCCATCTGGATCCACCATTCAGGTCCTTATGATGCTTGATTTCTCTTTTCACTTTGGAGCAATTAAATTAGCGTTAATCTGCGAGTACATATACCATACATCCATCTGGATGTACAGTGTTTCTCGTAGATCCACATAAATACTCATTTTTGAATAACTGAATACTAATTTTTTTAACATAACTGAAATGAATATCAATTACTTGAAAGTGAGCATTGAGTTGATCGGCAATGAGTATTCAGTTACTCGTAAATGAGTACTCGTCGCGGATGTACAGAAAACATCGTACAACCGGTTGTACGGTGTATATTGCATTAATCTGCCCATTCTTGGAGTAAAAATTGCACTTATGAATGAATGACAGTCATGGATAGAGGAAATGGCCAAATATTTGAAGTCAATAGACACTAACCATCTGGTAGAAGCTGGTTTGGAAGGATTCTATGGCCAATCATCTCCCCGCAGCAACAATCTGAACCTCAGCCTCAACGTCGGGACGGATTTCATCTCTAACAATCGGATCTCCGCCATTGATTTTGCAACCACCCACGTCTATCCAGATCAATGGCTGTCGAGCTCGAACGACGAAGCCCAACGGGCATTCCTCGATAGCTGGCTAGATTCCCACATCCGGGACTCACAGATCGCGCTGAGGAAGCCGCTGCTCGTCTCGGAATTCGGGAAATCCCTCAAGGACGCGGCGTTCACCTCCGATCAGAGGGACGCTCTCTACAGCGCCGTGTTCTACAAGATATATTCCTCCGCCAAACGCGGCGGAGCCGCCGCCGGGGGGCTATTCTGGCAGCTGTTTGCCGAGGGGATGGAGAACTTCGGGGATGGGTACGAGATTGTGCTGAGCCGGAGGAGTCCGTCTGCGAATCTGATCGCTCAGCAGGCACACAAGCTTGGCCAGATCCGGAAGATCTTGGCCAGGATGACGGAGACTCGGCGGCGGCGGCGGCAGAGAGGAGGAGCTTCCGGTCGCGGCAAGGGGAAGCGAATTGGAAACTGATCCGTAGTACTGTAGTTGTACGATTTTGAAGTGGTAAATTTTCCGCGAAAATGTTTTTAGTAATTTTCAAAATCTACCCCATAAGAATGAATATTAGGAACTCAAAACAAGACAAAATACGGAGTATTAAATTTTTAAAATTCATTTTAGTAATATAAAAATAAAAATTGGATGCTTATAAACTACACAAGTACAAGATAGAAATAATAAGAATATTTAATGATATCAAATAAACAACAAAAAAAGTGAAAATAAATTAAAAATATTGTAAATTTAGAATGATAAATTGCATAAACATTTTGGGACCGAGGAACTCTGCTATATTACTCTCTCCGTCCTATAATGTTCTTCCCGGTTCTGTTTACGAAGTTTGACCGACTTTATTTTTAATTCAATTTATTTGATTGTAAGTGTAAAATTAAAAAAATAAAATTTATATATTTAAAAACTAAATCAAAATTTCTACAAAATAAATGGTGACAAGACTATATTATTTTATCAAATACCTAATGCAAATAGTAAAGAAAATGATTAAAGTTTGACCGTGTAAATAGTAAGTGAGAAGAACATTTCAGAACGGATGGAGTATTCAATTTTGACCTAATGGTGGAGAAGTGATCCAAGAAGGTTGGATGAGACATGATGTAGGGGTGAGTGAGGCCTTCATATTTTTATTTTTAACACTTTTCGTAAAATATTTAAAATCAAAGTATCGAAGTTCAATGAGAACGAAAGAAGTCGATTTTTAATTTATACGGAGCATTAGTTTGCGAAGACCTTAAATTGAAAGCAAGAAAAAAAATTGACATAAATTAATTTTATTACTAAAGAATATTAAAGTTTAGAGCATCACAAATATAAGATAGAGGGACAGAAACTCACTCCAGGGAATTAGACATACAAAAAGCATGCAATATCAGAAAAGGGATTCTTAAAATAAATAAAAAAAGAAACTTGGCTAAAAATCATGGAGTGCAACATTAAGAGATTTTTATTGTTCAAAGTTTGGCATCAGAAATGTTTAAAGCAAGTATGAAAGGATGGTCTTTTGTTCTCTATGGTGCATTATTGGTGGATTAAAGTTTCCTAAGTACAAGGACAAAAGTAATGGGTGTAATATGTTGTATACCCAATTCAAGATCAAGCAATCTTCCATATTCCTCAAAGAGACTATCAAGTATTCCTCCTCCAAAATGGTGTGTCAACATTGATTCTTGAACTGCCCTCACTCCCATAGCAACTCTCCTTCCATAGCTCCTCATCATCATCATCATCTCCCCATCATCATTCTTATAAGAATCTTCTCCCCCCTTATTGTCTGCTCCGAACATCTGTAGCATCTCCATCTCGAACGAACCTTCACTCTCCACTGCCTCCTCTACCTCTTCCATCGACGGAGCATAGAAATGAACGTCGTATGCGTCCACCTTCTCCTCCTCCACTTCTCCCTATTCAAAGAAATATTTTTAATTAGCTATGAAATACGGTTGGATTTCAATTTCGAAGTGGACCAAATTCTTACCTTGGAGATCAAAGTCGAGAATGCTTTGGTGAGGAGGTCCCACAAGAAAGAATTGCCTCTATCAATATGAATAGAGGTTTCCCTCCCAAGAAAAATGAGCACCATTTTCCCTCCCATTATTAGCTCCTTTGACCTCAAACCAAGGAACAAAGAGAAGTCCAAATTAAATTGGTGAGCGTAAGCTTGGGCCACCTCCGGGGGGCTCCCTTCTGTTATGTATACGCTTCCTTTGTTTTTCGACCTCCCTTCCGCGTCGTATAACCCGGGTGGGACCTACACATCATTTACGCCCACTGTATTTTTACCACCATTTTTTTTCTTTAATTAATAAGAAGAAGAGGGAATTGAATATCTTGATCGAAAAATCAATTCGGAATATGCAAACTAAATTGTAATCTTAACTCCTTTCCGAAAAAATTATCATCTTAACATGATAAATAAAGGATAAAATATGTTTTTGAGGTGTCGTGAGGGGGCGTGGGCAGGGATAGGAGTTTATGAGTGGAAAATGAGGACATAATAGAAACTATCAAAATTACGAACAGAGTACCGTAAGTGTCTTAATCAAAATAGTATCACAAAATGGATAGAAATGGTCCGTATTATTTGACTAATACTCTTTTTAGAGAAAATGGTGTTCTCATTGATAGGAATACTTCGTATATTTGGGGACTAATTGTTGGAAAATATTGATTAAATATTCAAAAAGAAAGAAAAAGAAAAGAAAAAAAGGAAATAAGAAAAAGGACAACGAAGATAAAAAAGGAAGATATGGATGGTGAATGCATCCATCATGCATGCATGTGGTTAGGTTCTCTCCTGTAGCAAATTGATTGAGACAAATTATTTTTCTCTTTTCCCTTTAAAATGGAAAGGCTACGGAGTATTTTTGTGTGTGTGAGTTTTACACACCACCAAGGTAGAGATAGAAAATGGGAGGAATTTTACACAAGAATACCACTGGGAAAATCCAAGGGGTCTTGGTGAGTGTGGTGAGTGCAGGGAGTAACTAGTTTTAGTTACTCGGAAAAATACATCTGGACATAGGATGTGGAAAGATCTGTTTATGAGTGTCTAAAATTTAGTCTTGTAAACAGGGGAAATTTTTTTGTATATTGTCCTGAAGTAGTGGAAATATAATTTTTTTCTCATATATTCTTCTTGTGTTTGTTCTCTCATTTTTCTGGTGATCTCAATATTTTTCGGTATCATACGCGCTTAAAATCCCAACACTAATACTCTCTTTAGAAAAAATATTACAGAAAATAATATTTGACTCCTTACCATATCTTTTTTTTACTAAATTTAAAAATATAAATAGAAATCATTAGCTTTGATAAATGAATAAAAAACTATATATACACAAATACAATACACTCTCTTAATTAATTGGTGGTTCAAAGTGCAAACTTTTGAGTGAGTGGGTACTTAGTGGTAGCTACAAACTTAGATTCCTCACACCTCTATTATCGCACAAAACCCCACTAATATAATTAACGCAGCAAGTGTAATAATCACCACGTTTTTAACTCACTCACTCATAATTATTCGTCTTCAACTTTAATTTGCCCTTTTTGTGAATGAAAGAAACATGTGTACACAGTCTTAAAAATACATGGTCCGTCCAAATTTTTTTTGGAGACCATGTACCCAAAATCACACTCCTTTTAATTACTCCGTATTTGTTTTGGTTTATGATTTTTGATGGAAATTATTTATAATATAATTCATTCGAGAATTGGGAAAAAATTAAAAATTATTTATATATAACAAAACGAAATAAAAAACTTTACCAAACAATAGGTGACATAATTGTATTTTTTTCATCAAATGAGTAACGAAAACAAAGAAAGAAAGTGAATGAACTTTGATAATACACTTAGGGCCAGTTTGAGAATAGCATTTTCGATTAGCTTTATCGCTAAAGGCTACTCATAGCATTTTTGATTAGCATTTTCGATTAGCTTTATCGATGAACTTTGGATAAAATTTTAACGGTACAGATTAGTTTCGAAAACTCCAACGCTAAAGGCTACTCATAGGTAGGGTCTGTTTGGGAAAAACGTTAGCGATTAGCGTTAGCGTTTTGAAAAGGCTATCTACGGGCAGCGTTTAGCGTTAGCGTTTTCAAAGTAATCTATACCGTTAAAAGTTTTTCCACAACGCTAATACTAATCTTATTTCCAAACAGACCCGTAATTTTTCAAAATGCTAATGTTAATCTCTGACATTGTTTCCAAACATGTCATTATTAGTAAACATGTAACTTAATTTGGGACAAATGTAATATTGTTTACTTTTACTTCGTAAGTTTTAAAAATATTTCAATATTAAGAATTTAGATACTATGGAAATATATGGAAAACCGTAATCAAAGTAAATTATGGAAAGTAATTATTTTTATTTACTTTTCTTATTCATTAATAAACATACTTCTTTGTTCCACTTTATTGGTCACATTTCCTCGTGTATTGACTGTATTCTATATAGATTAATGTAATAACTTTCATAAATAAGACTAATTATTAGTCTTATTGTATCAATATCTCAAAAAAGAGTACAATAAGGCTCCAACATTATTGACCATAATACATGTTCCCAGAAAAATTATTCCCCACAAAACTTTTCGTTAAAAAAGATAAGAAAACTAATTTCAGAAAGGACCAAAAATAGAATGAAAACAAAAATTGTGTCCCACTGTCATGTTAAAAATTCGACCCTAATAATTTTGTACGGGTTTACTAAAATACTCGTTCTGGGTTTGTTGGTTACCCAACGTCAAATCATCCAAATGATTGGAATCAAACAAATTGTGTAATCCCTAATAAAGTGTTGATAATTTGTTGTGAAATCCAAGAATGATATTTTTTAAAAAAGAGAGAAAGAACAAAGTAGGATTAAAACATTGAAAATATATACTAAAATAGGATTTTTATGTTTTTATTCTCGAAATAATACTTACATTACCAAACATAGTCATGTACATTACCAAAAAAGTATAATAATGTGCATAAGTACAGTGCCACATTACCATTTACCACATTGCAAAGTCTTATTTCGTGAAAAAATATGAAAATCTTATTTTGATATATTTCTCTATGTTTTAGTCCTATTTAGATAATTTTTATTTTTAAAAACAATAGGGAGAACAAGGGATATCCAAACACCCCGATTTCCAGAAACAGGAGGAAATTGATCAAGATACAACTAATTAGGATTAATACTAAATATGCTTTATATATCAAAATAGAACTTTTTGACATTTTTGTTCTAAAATACTCCCTCCATCCCCGAAGACAAATATAAAAGTCTTTATTTTAGTATAAGTTTCATATTTCAATTCTACGAAATATTTAAATCGATTTCGTATGTCTAAACATTCCCGTGGCTAATTTTCACATTTCGGTTTTTTAGAATTTACTCTCCTTGGCTTTTCAGATTTCAGCTTTCCGGGTCAAATATTTAAGTAAAAAAAATTAGCCAAATAATAATTTTCACTGTTTAATAAATTAAAAAAGTCAAAGTCAATCAGATATACCAAAAGTCATATGAAAAGGTGTTTTCCAAATAAGGCCTGTATCAACACTCATATTAAGAAAGATAAAAAAGAAGAGAAGAAGTTATTGCACACCTTGGAGAGCCAATGCAAGCTATTGG